CTCCCCCTCCCCTTCTCTCTCTCTCTTTCTCTTACTCCTCCGTCTCCCTCTTTCTCTCTCTCTCTCGCTCCCTCCCTTTTATTTTTCTAACTCTCTCGCTCTCTCTCTCCCTTACTCTCTCTCTCCTCCCTTCCCCCACCCTCTCCCGTCTTCCCTCTCCCTCTCCTGTCCTTTCCCCTTTGACCCCTCTATTAACAACCACGATCAGCACTCGAACTCGACAATGTGCCTTGTCCCAGTAGGCAGAATCGCTCTCGGAAGAGATAAAGTCGATGGATTTAGTTTCGAAGTGTTCCCCGAACTTTTCCCTTTTGCGGAGTTTACAGATAAGAGCTTTCAAAAGGTACTTTCTCAATAATACCAACGTTGATTTTGTAAACTTTGAATCTCCTTCCCTTACCCATTTTGCCTTCCCCTCCCCCCACTCTGTAGATGTCAGCACTTGTTTTTCGATCTCGCCTTCTCACTCTGTCCCGGAATCTCACCCTGACCCGTTAGGCCGATCGTTACTCGGCGTAGGTTGGATATAGTGGATTTGACTTCGAGTATCACTCCGAATGCGTCCCCTTCTGTTGATGCCTTCCGAAATTTTCTAAATTCTCTTCTGTTGATGTCAGCACCTGGCTCTCGTTCCCGGCGTCGCACTTGTCCCAGCCTCTCACCCTATCCCGCTGAGCTGAACCGAGCTCGGCCAAGGCCCGAAAAAGTGGGTCTCCGTTCGGCGACCTCTCCGAGCGTGTCCCCTTTCGTTGATGATCCCGTAAACTAGTATTCTGAATAATGTTAGTAATGATAATAATAATCTTGCCTTATTTGGCTTTTCCCCTTTTTATGAACTTCCTCCCTCATTTTCTTCTATAATCCATCTGTGTTCCCAGTTCCTCCTCCCGTCGTCATTCTTCTTCTTCTTCCCTCCCCTTCCCTCTGCCCCTCCCTCTTCCCCTTTTTTGTATCTTTTTACTCCCTTCTTTTCCTTCGTTCTCCCCCCCTCCTCTCTCCCTTCCTCTCTCTCTTTTCCTTGTCCTTTATCGAAGATCCACTCTGGTCTATCGGTCAATAATCCAAATCGGCGTCACTTTTTTTATGTGGAAAATTCCCTCTCCCCCTCCCTCTCTGTCTCACTCCCTCTCTCTCTTACTCTGTTTATCTCTGTCTCTCCCTCTCTCT